AGTCATTACAGGGATCCAAACCCTTGACCTTCGTTTTGTAACACCACACTGACTGACTGAGCTAACCAGTCAGACAGTCTCTGCCTTCTTTCTTTTTCACCTGTGATACCACCTCCCCCAAAGCTCCAGAGAAACCTGGTCTCAGGCCATTGTTCTGGGGCTTGTATCTCCCCCACCTTCTCTGTCTCATGAGCACTGGTATACAAGCTTTGCACTCCACTGGAAAACTGGGTAATTACTCTCTTGTGATTCTCCTGTGCATTGCACCTCACATCACATTAAAATAATAAAATTTGTTGTGCCTTTTTTCATATTAATTTAAAATTTTCAGAGATTTTTATTAATAAGGCTTCAGGGGTGAAGAGGAAGCTTGGCACCTGATGGAGTTTGGATATGCTGTCCCCTCCTAAACTCATGTGGAAATTTGATCTCCAATGTGGCAGTGTTGGAAACTGAGTCATGGGGGCAGATCCCTCATGAATGGATTAATGCTCTCCCTGGGGGGTGGGGGGGTGGAGATTAATGAGTGAGATCCCCTTCTATTAGGTCCGGCGAGAGCTAGTTGTTTAATAGACCCTGACACCTTCTCTCTCTCTCTTGCTTCCTCTCTCTTGCTTCCTCTCGCCATGTGATCTGCTTGTATCCGCTGGCTGCCTGCCACTTTCCACCATGAGTAGAAGCAGCCTGAGGCCTGCACCATGTGCAGCTGTCCCGGAATCGTAAGCCAAATAAACCTCTGTTCTTTATAAATCACCCAGTCTCAGGTATTCTGTTATAGCAACACAAAAATGGACTAACACAGCACATATACCATTTATGGCTGGGGGTTAATTGTGTAACTTAAAAAAGCTCTGAAAAAGACAATATGCAATCTGGACACCATAGGTCTGTTCTGTGTCTGCTTTAACAGTTATTTCACCTTTTTGTTGAAAATTCAATCCAAGTTTATATTTATTTTTAAAACAATTAGAAAACAAATATATGTTCAGAAAAAGGGAAGAAAGGAAGAGAGGAAAGAAGGAAAGAAGGGAGGAAGGAAATATTGATGAACAAAATAAAAAGCATTTGTCTTGTCACTACCTAAGAATAACTACTTTCTAGGTGTGGTTAGAGAAAAATAGTTTGGTATATATCCTTTTAAACTTTTCAAATGCAAGTTATATATACAGGTTGAGTATCCCTTATCCAAAATGCTTCAGACCAGAAGTGTTTTGGATTTCAGATTTTTTTTTCAGATTTGGAATATCTGCATAAACATAGGAGATGTATTGAGGATGGAACCCAAGTCTAAACACAAAGTTCATTTATGTTTATATACACATAGCCCGAAGGTAATTTTATATAATATTTTAAATAAATTTGTGCATGAAACAAAGCTGGAGTACACTAGTCATCAGAATGCAAAGGTGTTACTGTCTCGGCCACCCACGCAGACAATCTGTGGTTGTTTGGCATCACCAGCATTCCTGACTCTTAATTTATAAGCAATCGTTTTCTTAAACTTATTAACACATAGGTACTTGACAATAAAAAATGTGACATACCATAAATACAGAGAAAAACATGTGTTCAGGGTAACCAAGCAGCACAGTAGCATCAGCAGAAACCCGTTAGACAACAGCAACAGCAAACAGCAGCAGGTGTTCAGTCTCCACCTATGTTGCTGTGTTTTGATTAAAAGGTTACTGTACCTTTTATATTTACACTGTAAATATACTGTATTTTTTTTTTTTTTAGATGAGAAGAAACAACAGAAGCAGTTGATGGAACAGGAAGTTGGTCCTTTACGAATGAGGAGTCATTCTGCTGAGTGGCTGTTTAAAATGTTTCCTCCAGAGTCATCTGCCTCATTAACAATAGTTTTTGTTTTAGAAGTCTATCCTTGATTTTATAAACTGGCATGATTTCTTGTCCTGTTATGAATGCTCACTACTCTAGTCCTTCAATAAGCCCAGCACTCATTTTCAACATGTCTACTATATCCTTTCAAACTTTTCAAATGCAAGTTATATATACAGGTTGAGTATCCCTTATCCAAAATGCTTCAGACCAGAAGTGTTTTGGATTTCAGATTTTTTTTTCAGATTTGGAATATCTGCATAAACATAGGAGATGTATTGAGGATGGAACCCAAGTCTAAACACAAAGTTCATTTATGTTTATATACACATAGCCCGAAGGTAATTTTATATAATATTTTAAATAAATTTGTGCATGAAACAAAGCTGGAGTACACTAGCCATCAGAATGCAAAGGTGTTACTGTCTCGGCCACCCACGCAGACAATTTGTGGTTGTTTGGCATCACCAGCATTCCTGACTCTTAATTTATAAGCAATCGTTTTCTTACACTTATTAACACATAGGTACTTGACAATAAAAAATGTGATATACCATAAATACAGAGAAAAACATGTGTTCAGGGTAACCAAGCAGCACAGTAGCATCAGCAGAAACCCGTTAGACAACAGCAACAGCAAACAGCAGCAGGTGTTCAGTCTCCACCTATGTTGCTGTGTTTTGATTAAAAGGTTACTGTACCTTTTATATTTACACTGTAAATATACTGTATTTTTTTTTTTTTTTAGATGAGAAGAAACAACAGAAGCAGTTGATGGAACAGGAAGTTGGTCCTTTACGAATGAGGAGTCATTCTGCTGAGTGGCTGTTTAAAATGTTTCCTCCAGAGTCATCTGCCTCATTAACAATAGTTTTTGTTTTAGAAGTCTATCCTTGATTTTATAAACTGGCATGATTTCTTGTCCTGTTATGAATGCTCACTACTCTAGTCCTTCAATAAGCCCAGCACTCATTTTCAACATGTCTACTATAGGCACTTTTTCTGCAGTGTTCATGTCATCTTCATCATCCCTATTACAGATTGAGTATCCCTTATCTAAAATGCTTGGAACCAGAGGTATGGAATTTTCCACTTGTGTTGTGCTGGCACTCAAAAATTTTTGGATATTGGAGCATCTTGAATTTTGGATTTTTGGATTTAGGATGCTCACCTGTATATATGCCTTATATAAAAACAAATTACCTGCCTAGGCCTATATCTCTATATTTATACACATATGTATAGCTACATATACAACTATATCTATGTTGTTTTTGGAATTTAGATACTTAATTCCAAAACAGCCAATGGCAGAAAACAAGTTTGAGCATTATATGTATGCATATATATTTGAATAATTGCAATTTGACATTTTAAAAGTTATTATTTGCTAAAATATAGAAACAACCAAGAATTATTAGGGTGTGTGCAACCAGCAGAATCACCCTGGCTACAGTGGTCAGACTGATCGATTCTTTATAACCCAGTGGAGCACACCATTGCTGTGACCTGCTTGCTACAGCAAGTTCTTCAGTTATTACAATGGCAAAGTGTTTAAAATGGGTAACCATTGTTAAAAGAATAAATTTAGGCAATTAAATTTAATGAAGTTTAATTGAGCAAGGAAGAAAAGAAAGAAAGAGGGAAAAAAAAAAACAATTCACAAATCGGGCATCCCCTAGAGTCAGAGCAGATTCAAAGGGACTCTGCTATTCCTATGTGGTTGGTTAAGATTTATAGACAGAAAAAGGGAAGTGATATATGGAAAACAGAAGTGAGGTACAGAACAGATGAACTGCCTGCAATCGGCAGAGACTCAGCTATCATTTCAGAATCACACTTCTAAGATAGGTTTCAATCTGTTTACATACTAAGTTACGTCGCAGTTCCTACATGAGAGCTCAAGTCTAAAAGCCTGGAGGCTCTCAGGCCAAATTTTTGTTTTATTTAACATCATTAATTTTTTTAAAAAACAATTCCATCAGTTTGGATGCTTTTTATGTTTAGAATCCCAGATAATATGCTCTCTCTTTATCTTTTACACTCTGTTTTGTTTCCACTGATAACCAAAAGAATCTGCTATGACCAGATCAGCTACATTATAAAGTGCCTTGGGAGATCTGGGATAAGTCAGTAATCATGTCCACCTGTCCTGGAAAACTTTATCATGAGAACATTTTACTTAGAAGCTGCCATAATGGAGCCAAAAAGCCATACAATAACTTAGAATACTTCTTATTACCCTTACCCCAGATCCCTTGGAGGATGTAACATAGTAACAATCCCAAATCTGTACATCAGGTACCACCAGTAGAAAACCTGATGAAGGGGGCCGGCCCGGTGGTGCACTGCTACAGTGCGCCGCTTGGGAGCGTGGTGGCGCTCCCGCTGAGGGTTCGGATCCCACATACAGACCAGTTCCCGCTCACTCGCTGAGCGAGGTGCGGCCGCAACGCCAAGGGTTGCAATCCCATTGCCGGTCCCGGTCCGGTACGGGCGTGACACTGAGGGCTGCGATCCATTGCCGGACACGAAAAAAAAAAAAAAGACAAAAAAAAGGAAAAAAAAAAAGAAAACCTGATGAAGTAATAAGGTGGGGCTGTCTTTCTCTCTCTGTCCTTTGACCTTTTCCCCTTTTTGTGATTATAAAATGTTAAGCTCTGCTGGCCCTCTCTGGAACACATTTCTCAGGGTGATCTCATCTGATCTCATCTATCAGTCTCCCAAGCTGCAATCATCAGGTTGACTCAACAAATCTTTGGTATATGTATTTGGTCTCAGTTTCTTTTTTAGGTCAATGCCCCAGAATTTTACCCATTTTTGTTAATATTAAAAATTACTAATATTAATTTTTGTTCATGATAGAAAAATATTGTTCTTATTTTATAATTCCTTGCTGCTAAAAGGAATGAGAAATGCTTTAAGTAGTTGGTTTATATTGAATAAATCCCCTGCAGCCCCACTGGAATGGTCCTCTAGCTGAAATGTAGAAGAGGATTAACGGTTTGATAATGCTGTTATATAAGAAACTTTGTTTAACTCTCTGCCTATTTCAGCAGCTTCGAGATGGTTATCATTATAAAGGTAGTTTTCATTAAACAGGGTGAGATGTCTCATGAGTTTAGCATAGGAACCAATGAAGGAAACACATGTTCACATACCAATAAGCCAGTAAAAAGGGGACCACAGTATGCCCGGCTGCTGAAGCCACGGTGACAATATGGCCATGATTATTCTCCATCATTGCTGGAAGAAATGCCTTCGTAGTCTAGAAATAGTTTTCATTAAAAGAGAAAAAAACAAACAAACAAAAAAAAAAACATTGTATTTCTGATTCACAGACCCATTGGGAACATTTTTAAACAAAGGTATCTATTTTTAACATTGTTCCTGGTATAAATGAAAAAACCCTAAATTAACTGCCAAATGCAGCAACATAAGGCAACTGGATATGACGCCCACGTTAGAAAAACTAAGCAAAACAACAAATACTGAAAGCTGTGAGAATGCACCTCATTTAAATTGCTAACTTCTTATGTCCCCGACCTTCCACCCCCGTCACTGTTATCTGATATACTGAATAGGCATAATAATTTAGAGTTATCAAAAGAATTTACATTTAATGTGATATTGTCAGAAAATAGTTTGATTTTATCATCAATATACTGAATTTTTCAATACTGAAATAGTAATCTTCCAGCAATAACTAAGTGATTTATGCACTAAATATTTATTGAGTAACTACTATGTGCTAGGGATGCAGAAACAAATAAGAAAATATCCTACATTTTAACAAATATAGAAATACAAAGATAAATGAGAGTAACTTGGGAATATTAACATAAAATACTACCGCATTTTCACCAACTCTAATATTCTTTTGAAGTTAGTCATCCCAAACTCATATCCAAGAAAACTTCAAGGGACCTTTTTAAGAACTAGCTAACTGGGAAGTACTTGAAGAAGACTTCAGAAACACAAACACAATATATGTATATGTATATGTATACTATGTAGACCTTGAATGGTGAGGTTCATAATAAAGTTTGCAGTTTTAGGGCCAGGAAATAATGTAAGGCCTGAGTCCAATGAGAATCTAAAAGCACACTGGGTTCACCATTATAAGAATCACAGACGATTATTCAGATGGTCTCTAATCCTTTTATCTCTAAACAAGAACACATAGAGATGTAAGAACCTAGCTTAGAATCAAAACATATACACTCTTGAAGTTTATTATTATCATTAGCTAATTCATTATTATTATTAATATTCCTGGGGGGGAAGAAGGATTGGTGGAATTTTGGTCATAGCATGAAAAATGATCTCTTTGTGTAATGTTTTCCTGGTACCTGCAGAAAATTTTAACATAAATACTTTCTTATATCTGCTGAAAGCTCCACCTTAAACTTAATCTTTGGAGTTTCCAAAAGGGAATGTTTTTGTAAAAGAAATCATACTCACCCAAAAATGTGCAAGTACATTAACTTCAAAAGTCTTTTCAATCTGAGGGTCCTGTGTAGCAAATAAATCTGATGTGTAGACCACACCAGCATTATTTACTAAAATACTAACGTCTCCAATTTCTTTCTTCACCTTTAAAAATAAAAAATAATTAAATGAATAAATAAATATTCTTTAACAGGTATGAGGGTAGGTTTGCATGCAATGACTATTAAAGAAGTAGGTATTTTTTCTACTAGATGTGGAAAAATGTAGTTTTATAATCTATGTGCCCACCCACATGGGAAAAAAAGCCCCATTTTATTTTGGGTATTTATGTCCAAAACAGCTCTGCCTGCAAGTCTACTAGGTACAAATTTTTTTTGCAATTTAGTCCTTTGACTTTGCTCTTTTGGTTTTATATCAAGAGGCAGTTGGCAAAGCAGCAATTTTTAAATACTACTTCAAAAGGTATGCAAAATATATCCAAAGGAATGGAAATCATCATGTCGAAGGGATACCTGCACTCCCGTGTTCATTGCAGCTCTGTTTACAATAGCCAAGATAAGGAACCAACCTAAATGTCCATCGACAGACAATTGGATAAGGAAAATGTGGGATATATACACAATGGACTACTACTCAGCCATAAAAAAGAATGAAATTCTGCCATTTGCAGCAATATGGATGAGTCTAGAGAAGCTTATGTTAAGTGAAATAAGCCAGACAAGGAAAGAGAAATACCACATGGTCTCACTTATAAGTGGGTGCTAAGAAAGAAAGAAAGAAAGAAAGAAAAGACCTAAACAATTCCTTGAACTTCCAGAATATTAGAGATGGGGGTGAGGCGTGTGTGTGGGGGGATGTTTGGGGAGGGATAGGTTGGGTAAAGGGCATAAAGAAAAATGATTTGTAATAATAATATGCTTATAATAAATAATATTAAAAATAAATTAAAATTAAAAATGTATGCAAAAAAGTAAAATTAATTGGCAAATTTGGAGACTATTATGGAGAATTATGTAAAACTGATTACACTATTTTTTTTTTTCCCCTTTTTATCTTTTTTACTGACTGGTAACAGGATCGCAACCCTCGGTGTCGCACCTGCACTGGGGACCGGCAACGGGATCGCAACCCTCGGTGTTGTGCCCACACCACACTCAGCCAGTGAGCGGGAACCGGTCTCCACATGGGATCCGAACCCTCGGCGGGAGCGCCACCGCGCTCCCAAGCGGCTCACTCTCCAGTGTACCACCGGGCCGGCCCAAAACTGATTACACTATTAAGCTGGCCACATCTTCTATTTCTTTGTTTCTATTTCTTTATTTTCATGGGCAGTCCATGCTATCGCTCACCAATTGTTCTCCATTAGGTGGCGGTAGGCTCAGGGGTGAAGAGTGTGGGGTCTGTTCAGCCTTGAGTTGAGTCCTTGCTCAGCCACTATCTGTTGGACCCTGAACAAGTTACTTAACCTCTCAAAACTTCAATTCCTCCTCTGTAAAATAGATATTTTACAACTTCCTTATGAGTTGTTGTGGAACGAATGAAATAATGCACATAAAGGAGCTAGCTCTGTATCTGGTACACATAGTAAACTACTACTATCATTATATATCATGATTGCATATTCATTTATACCTGTCTACAAGTAACATGTTTGAGGGTTCTTTTCTTGACCTTCTGAGATGTTTATGAGGGTCTTAATATGGAAATATAAATAGGTAAATAATGTAAAAAATTCATATGTATGTTTTTCTTATATGTATGTGTGGTATATGTGCGTGTTTTCTCTTGATAATTAAGTGTACTTGGTATTGATTGAGAAGGAAATACATTTGAGAAAGTACATGGAAGGCTTTATGTGAGCTCTTCAGGCCAGATTTCAAAGGTTATTGCAGCTCTCATAGGTAAATATGTGTGGTATATGTGCGTGTTTTCTCTTGATAATTAAGTGTACTTGGTATTGATTGAGAAAGAAATACATTTGAGAAAGTACATGGAAGGCTTTATGTGAGCTCTTCAGGCCAGATTTCAAAGGTTATTGCAGCTCTCATAGGTAAAATGATTTCAGTCAAAGAAATATAAGCAAAAGAACAAGGCTAGCTGCCAAGAGCAATAGAAGACATCTATTAAATTGTACAGACTTTGTACTCAACAAAGAATAATTACAGGCAATATAATTTTTTCAAAGTAATTGTTTATCTTCTGGACTCTAATGTAGTCAGTAACAGTATCTTCAAATAAGAAAGATCATACAATCTAGATGCTTAAGCTCTACTTTTTGTAAGATTGGAGGTACCATAGTTCTAATGGCTAGCAATGCAAGAATATTTTATATGACATTTTTACAGTTCTTTGAGTACCTAAGCTTCTTGGGTGGATAGACCCTAGGGTCACAATGCATTTTGTTATATATTTTGTTCCAAATAAAAGCTAGCTTCCATTAATAGCGTTACCATTATTTAGAGATAGTGCTATGATGTGTTGGGGGACTGAGGCAAATAATCTATTAGAGGCTTTCACTATGTTATACATTTTACATGATTTCATTATTTATCTCATTTAATTCTCAAAACAATTCAATGAAGCAGCAATCTTATATGCCCACTTCAAAGATGAGAAACATGAAACATAGAATCGTTAAGTTTCTTACCCAAGGTCACATGGCTATTATAGGACGGAGTTGGGACTCTCCCAGATCTGTCTGACCTCAGAGCTCAAGACAAGCCATCCCAACCAGAAAGGAGGCTAGGGACAAAGGTCCATTACCACCCTAGTAGGGCAGCAGTATGCCATGCTGAAGGCTCAACAGTCAGATTTTATTTAATTAGGTAATATTTAAATTAGTAAACTGTCTAAGCTATTTGGCTCTGATCAAAACCATTTTGCCTATATCAACATCTCCAGCACAGTATGAAAATTGTTCAGAAAAATGCTCTGAAGTTATTGAGAAAAGCAGGACATTTTATGTGGCTGAATTGATGAAGCTGCTGTAATGCCTCTGAATTAATATAACTCTCAAAATATAAATAACTTTTTGATATTACCAAAGAATTTTCCCAGCCACTCTTGATCTTTCCTTCATCATTACCTATTATCTTTCTTGGGAGGTGAATGTCTGGTTTGCATATTTCCCAATAATGAAAGTAAGCTTGAGATTTTTTAATTGTTTAGGTGGCAAAATGGCCACATCAAAACAGCTATTTCAAAATATCTGATAATCACATGTCCTTGTGTATACTCTGTTTAAGCATATAGCCTTTGAACAATTTCAATAAAAACACTACAGTTAAAGTATCTGGAATGTGCTAAAATAATAACATTATCTTTTCCAGAACAGCCTATTCCCAAATGAATGCTTCCACTTGGATAACTAAAGATGTTGGGCTAGAAGATCCCCCTAACAATGACTAATAACAAAATTATATAGGTAATATTGGCAATTCTATCAAAACACTAATAACTAGTACTCACAAAGTCATTACTGTGGGCCAGTACTGTTCTAAGTATGTTAATAACCCTATGAGGTAGGTACTGCTGTGATCCCCATTTTATAGTTGAGTAAACTTAGACATAGAGAGATTAAGGAACTTGCTCAAGGTCACATAGCTACTATTAACTGGAAGAGCAGAATTTGAACCTAACAGCCCAGCTCCAGAGCCCATGGTCTTAAACACTATGCAATATGCTCATCTCTATGAAGTATAACCATTAAGTACAATAGTTATTGTTAAATAAGGATGTTTCTTCTTGCCTATAGGTATTGCTGTCACTGTACCCCGAGGAAAGCGATTGTCTCCAAGGAAAGCTATTTTCTCCAAGGAAAGCTATTTTCTACCCTTGGCCTGGGTAAATTCTAGTTATTCTTTTAACTTAGCTCAGGCCTTACCAATAACAAAGAATTATCAGTTAGAAATAAAAAACTAAAATTTAAAAATAGCCATTAAAAATGAACCCAAATCTAAAATTCCCTAAAGAATCTGAGTCAAGAGTCTTTATACTTACTGGTTGAATAATTCACATCTGGCTGAATCAGAATCTTTACACCTACTGAATCAGAATACCCAGGGGTGAGGTCTAGGAATGTGTATTTTATTTTTATTTATTTATTTTATTTTTTCTGTGACAAGTAGAATTTTATTTATTTATTTATTTTTATTTTACTTTATCAATATACAATATAGTTGATTTTCATGTCCCTTTACCAATTCCTCCTTTCTCCCTTCCTCCTCCCACCCCCCCATCAACATCATATCTGTTCACTTGTCTTAACAAGTTCAAGGAATTGTGATTGCTGTATCTTCTTCCCCCCCACTCCGTTTATTTGTTTGCATATTTATTTATTTATTTATTTTTAGCTCCCACAAATAAGTGAGAACATGTAGTAAGGAACATGTATTTTAAAGAATTTGCCCAGGTAATTCTGATGATCTTCCTTCCATTAAGGTATTTAGTTAACAGATACAAACGAGAATGCATTCAGAATGAAACCCCATTATATATAGCACATCTCAGTTGTATACAGAAGAGGCAAATAATGCTTGATAGATCTATCTACATTAAAACCTGATAAATAATAGGTTTATCCTAAGTTCCTAATACAATTCTTTGACTGGGATTCAGAATACTCTGAGTGATTCTTCAAGTGTCATCTAAGGATATTCATCTGTGTCAGAACCTTGGATGAGGTGAGGGTGTGTAGAGTGCTAAACATGGAGCTTCCTGGGCCCTGCCTTAGACCCGCTGAAAGAAAACCTCTGGGGGTGAAACCCAAGAGTGTGTATTTTTAACAGCTCCCTGGAAGGTTCCAGAACACACTAAAGTCTGAGAACATCAGTTCTAGGTTCTAGTTCTGGGTCTGCCACTAGCTAGTTGCATAACCTTGGGAAAATCACAACATTTCTCATTTACTTTATCTACATCATGAACAGACTGGGTCATCTCCAAAATACCTCCTAGTTGTAACATATGATTCTAACTAAATATAAAATTTCACCTTCTTTGCAGAGCTGTAAATATCTTCTCGGTTACTACAGTCTACCACAAAGGTATGAGCCTTGGCACCAAGTTTCCTGCATTCAGCAGCTGTTTCCTCAATTCCATGCTAGGAAAAGCAACAAAGAGGGCAAGAGAACAAAATAAATGACATGAGTATATTATATCAGGTGGAAAATATAATTAAAGATAGATTCTTTGAACTTGAACTGGGCAAGAATTAACTGACACACATTTTTAGCAGAGATATAGGCATATTTTGCTTTCAGTACTTTCACTAGCTTCTTTTATTTGGAACTGAATTTAAAGCAAGCTTTTTAAAAAAAGAAACATCTTAAAATACTAGCTTTACATTTATAAATTTTATATACTGTGTAAACATATGTATTTGTATGTATTCTTACCAGGCTTTAAAAAATATAATCTTAAGCTATTTTCCCATGTCATTAAAAACTATTCATGACATCAACTTACTGGCTGCACAATAAGTAAGTAATGAGTTAACTATAGTTCTTTTACTCATTTATTCCTCCAACATTTTAATGTGTAGGTCATATTCACCAAGCTTAGAAGAAGCTTGTAGGCACAAATATGAATGAGACTTTATTACTCCATTTCTGTTGCTTACAACAAAATACCTGGCACTGGGTAATTCACAAGAAAACAAAATTTATTGCTTACAGTTTCAGTGGTTGGGAAGTCCAAAGTCCAGGGAACACACCTGGTGATGGTCTTCTTGATGGTGGTGACAGTGACCCAGGGGTCTCCCAGGGCAGAAAATGTTGGAGCAGAGAGAGAGAGTCTCTCACATGCTCTCTTTTTAAAGCCCTCAGAACCACACCCCTGACCACCATTATTAATCCATTCATTATGGCATGG